CATGATCTTGAACTACCTCTAGAGTTTCAAAATCATTGGTTTCGTCTTCATCACTCAGATCCTGATCTTTATTTAGTTGTGGCAGTAAAAATACATCTAAAGCTATTTTACTGGTTAAAAAATAATCAAACTAAAACGTTAACGTTTCACGGTATCATCCCCAACTTCAGAAAATTCTGTAAACAACATGTTAAAATTTTATGATACATTTAATTTTGCTCTAACATAATATTTAATAATATCTAAAAATACATAGCAATAATTTCATTACATTTACCTAGTATTAAGATATATAAATTACCTAAAGGTACCATTTTTTGGCCAATGAAATATTTTTAAATGGAAGTTAAGTTGTCTATAAACTAATTCTATAAATAGATATACACAGTCCAGAAAATTACAAATATTTTTATTATGAATATCATAGTTTATTGTTTTAAAATTTTTTATCACATCATTTATAGGATCCGACTTTTGTTTCCTTTGGAAGATCCTGTTGTTAAAGAAATTGCAGAGAAGCACAACAAGCAACCTTCTCAAGTCCTCTTGAGATATATGATCGAATATGGAGTAGCAGTTATTCCAAAAAGTACAAATCCCGATAGAATCAAACAAAATTTTGATGTTGGTAACTTTATAAAGTTGATCTTATTGATAAATTCAATTATATACCAATTAATTATATTAATTCATTTTTTAAAGGTATTTGATTTTGAATTGACAAAAGAAGAATTTGAAAAGATAAGTGCCTTAGACCGTGGAGAAGACGGAAGAATGTTTGGTGGACGTGGAAGTCGTGGCTTTATGAATCAACTGTCAAGCCATCCAGAATATGCTTTTCCTAAATGAATTTAAGCGATTAATTATTATTTAAATATATTTTGCTATGGTTACCTCTCTATATAAAATTTTGGTTTATAATTTTTTTTTTTACTTTTTAGTCAATTCTTTTCTCATATAATATTTATTTATCTCACACACACATATATATATATATATATATATATATATATATATATATATATATATATATATATATATATATATATATATATATATACATACATATATTTTAATATACACCTTAATTGAGAGTTGTTAAAAATGATTAAATAAATTAACGTAATAATAAAAAAGCAAGCTAATCTAGTTTCACCAGTTCAGGGAAAAGCTGCTTTGTAGTTTGCTCTAAAAGAAAAATCCCAAAGAGGGGAGGGGCAAAGGTTTATATTTTGGCAAGCAATTGGTGTTTAGCTGCTGTGAAGAGAGGATGGGAGAAGAGATACTGGTTCCAGTGGGTAAAACCCAGTAATAGTATTACCATCTTAGAAGTTGTTGTTTGGCAGAGAGACTTTATATTTGTTACTAAATGAGATAGGATCTCAACCTCTCAACCTTGAGTTGAGTAAAAGAAAGTCTCACTATTTTGGTAGATGTTTTTGGCAGAACTTTGGAAAATGTTTGAAGACAAATGAATTTAGAGCAACAAAGGAAGAAACAGTTTATATAAAAAAAAGGTTAGCTTGCCAATTCATACTTAACATTATTTTAAAACCAAACAGTGTTTAGTGCAGTTAATTTTAGTTTGTCTGAGTGTTTTGATCTGATTGTCAGTGACCTATACCTGAGAAAAAATAATTATAAATTCTAATTTAATATATTAATACTCTTATAATTTTGTCTATTTGTCAACAACCTCTTATTTATTTTGGAAGTATCACAACAGTATAAAGTGATCTTCCACAAGATCAGATTATTATTTGCAAAATATAAGAGAGATATTACAATGTATATACCTTCTGTAAATGTACCATGTGATTTCTTATATTTTTTGGAATTCGAAAAATATGTTATTCCTTTTTCCTATATGTTATTCATATATATATATATATATATATATATATATATATGAATAACATATAGGAAAAAGGAATGACATATTTTTCGAATTCCAATATGTTATTCATATACATACAAAAATATGTTATTCATTTCCTGTAATTCACTAAAAACTTGACAAAAATTGCGGATTTTACCACCTTGAGCATAAAATCTTTGTAGAACGGATACTTATTCTTAGTCATCAGTTGGTGTTGGTTTGATCGTGGGATCCCACCGATGTTGACAACACGAATAGTTTAAATTACAAGGTATCCAGAATCATTGAGATATTAGGGGCGGAATGGAGGAACCTTTCCAGCACTGGAAAGCGGGAGAAAGACCTGTCTCAGGGTGGTCACTTGTATTAATTGCCCTAAAGAGAGAAATATACAAGAGTCAGCGAACATATCAGAAGTTAGTAACAATGAGAGGCATGCTACACTTAGTCATTAATACAGGTCTAAGGTTAATTTATAATTAAATGAGGTCTGCTTGCAAAAACAAAGGTTCTGTAATGAATTCATCTAGAAAGAGTCTGCGAAGAATCCCTGGATTATCACATTCAAGATAACCATTGGGAATTATGCGCACAGCTAGTCATTGTAGAACTGAGGCATGGAGATACTCATGTACCTATAGATATATTATACTCAGAGATGGACAAATGCCAATTTGAGTTGTGAGTACCAAGCATTTTACTCAAATACTGACCTTTTTTGAGTACCAAAAAATTTAATTACTACTTCAGTTGATGTGAAATGATTAACTGAAGTAATGTTTGAATTCTCAATAGTGATTCAATTTGAGTAAAATACTTGGTACTCGGTACTCAGGGTAGCATTTGTCCATCTCTGATTATACTTTGTAGGAAATAGCAAAGATTATTACAAAAGAGCCATATCTCAGGGAAAAAGGATGAATTTTCAAAGGATGATGATGACCAAGCATTTGTGAGGTGAACTATGTTATACCCGCCTGGGATAGATCTGTGACCACTGCGGGACCTTTGGGAATTCCATAGTGCTGTAGACAGGCAGGAGACTGGCCAGACCTCAGCTTTAGATGCTATTAATGAGTAGTATGCTCAAGTGAGTAGTATTCTTCTTTCAATCCTAAAGGACTACCTTGATAGTCGACTTTGCAGGAAGCTGAACAATTGCTGATGTCAGACTGTTCTACAACAGAGAAGCTAAGGATTAGTAACTTTATTGATTATATAACCCCATTTGTTTCTTCCCTGTAATGAATAAGGTATTGAATAACCTGGTGGTTATAATCGTTTGGCAAGTCTTATTAAGATCGTACTATCCATGGCAATATAGATCCACCAAAGGCAGAACCACAGAAGAGTGAGAGTGTGCCATGGTGAGTATGTTATGCTTCTCCTCTTAGACATATCCTCCCGTCTTTGATAGAGTGTATTGGCCGAGAGCAGAGCCTCATAGCCTGGAACTTATTTTTTTCTTTACCGACAGAAGTGTAAGTTGGCATAGATTCAGAGGTTAACTTTACTTTGTGTGGCCAGAGCATATTGGACATTGTTTCTTGAGGAAATGCTTATACTAGTAAGAGGGAGGGGTACATCTTTGCTTTCTGAGGAGTGACGAGAGACTTAAGAACAGTTGGGTAGCTAAGATTGGCTGTGCCTCAATACCAGTGTTTTTTTATGTGTCCCCTTGGTATTTATTAGAAATTATTAAGCAAGCTAAAAAGTAATTAAATTTATATTTGCATTTTACAGAAACCTGAACCACTCTCTTTGCTTTCAGATTATGAATTAGTAATGCATTGCACACTATTATTAATGATTAGCGATGAACATTTATTCAGATAAATGGTTTTAAAGAAGAAACTATCAAACATTTGTTTAAAAGATATACTTTTATTCACAATTAAAAAATAAGTAGAATGAAAATCATATTACTTATATTTGCTTTAATTTCTTACAGAACATATATTTATAAAGTTTAAAACATGATATTTTATATAAGCACCTAATTTATTGTCTCAATAATTAGTCTATGAAGCATCACTTGCAAAGTCAAGGAGACCGCTGAAAACGTAATTGTCCAATGCACTGTCCATGCACTGAGGTACAAATTACTGAAAGATACTGGAATATATACATACCTTTACATGAACATAATATTAATTAAGCAATTGATCGAAGTTATTTATAGGTTACATTTCGAAGATCAACGCAACATTGAAGTTAATGACTTGTAGTAGATTCAGTTGAGCGCAGGGGTGCCCATCCTAAGGTCGATAGCGCATGAACCATCACCTCTTCAGCAAGTTTGTTACTCTCCTCTTTTTAAAAACAGGACAAGTGAAAGTAGAATTAGATAAATCGTAGATCATATCCAATTACACTTGCAGTGGTCTGTCCCATGTTTTCCCCCTAGTTCCCTGTTTTGAAAAATTTCCCTCCGAAAATTCATAACACCATCGAAATGCGCTTCCCTCAAAAGTTTTAATGGTGCAACTTGCGCCATAAAACCTCTTTCTGGACATTGCTGGCTGAGCTAATTTTTGTATGATGTTAGTAACCTATATTATAATTATTTAAAACTAAAGTGTGACAAAACTGAACCTGGTTAAGACGTTCAACTCAAATAAATGCTTAACTTAAAATTTTTTTTTTCTTTGGTTGATAATTTCCAGTGTCTTAAGGCCTGTTGAACATGGAAACGATAGTTATGCCCCTTACTCTTGAGGGCTTAGGAACTTCGCAGGCTAAAGTGTAAACCCCTGGCGCGAAAAAGATCTCTCATTTGGTGCTAAATAGATTTTGTCCAACAACCCACCTAATTTATTTTGTATTTCTTGATAAGGGATTGATTCTATTTCGATTCAACACTGTCGATTTGTATCATTTCTGGTAGGAATGAATAAACAAAGTTAGTAAATACTATTTTCTTTTTCAAGAAAACAGTTATTAACAACGAAACTAACTTTTATGGATAAAATTTGCACATATGCTAACTAGAAGCCTTAATTCTTATTATTAAATTAATACGGTAATATTCCATTTTTACGCAGAAAAAAAGTGATATCTCATAATTTCATTTTAAAAAAAGTTGTATTCAGAATAAATGCAATATTGCCCGACATTGGTCCAGTACTGTGCATGAGGTCGCGACCTTGGCAGTAGATTCAATCCGAGAGACCCCCTACTACTCTCTCCCCACTTCATCGATATAAGGCCTACACCCTTCTTCCACTACCTTCAGTTCAGACTTATACAGCCGGTTATTGTGTTAACATTTCATAGTTGTCAACCAGTTCTTTAGCCAACATGACTAAAATCGACTCGAAGAGTGTGGTAACCTCTGGAAAGATGAAAATGCCCGTAGTTGGATTAGGCACTTGGCAGGTTAGTTATTATTTCAAATGCTGATTTCATGATTCTGAGAAAATACATAATCCAATAATGTTTTCAGTACAGCAGTACGGTACAGCTTTGTCTTGCATTACACTATAATTCCACATTAGTAATCGTTCCCAGTTTCGGGTTCATTTCGAGATTTTAATGCTCTATTAATCTGAGTCATTTTGCTTAAATTTTAATATTTTTATTATTATTTAAATTTTGTTTCTGATCATGTCATTCTCTTTACAAGAAATAGGATAGCTAAGAGCACCACCAAATTTTATATATTAACCTAATTAAATAATTAAATTTTAGATAAAATATGGCAAATCAATATTAAATTATTTAAATATATTATCGTTGTACAAGTTACATAAATGTTATTTGTTGTATCAACCCATGTTTTATCACCCCATAAATACTGTTTGAAATATTTGCAGTTGCATGTTCTTATCTCACAAACGGTACCATAAATTTATTTTTAATTCCGACAATTGGGTATATTATATAACGACAGTTGGAATATATTATATATTGAAAATTTCATTTAGTTTCCATGGAAACATATTGTTTCCATCAAACAATATGAGTTTTCAGAAATTATTTTTCTTTATTTTTTCGTAACTCTCTATTTCCTTTTTTTTCCTTTCTTTTTAAGGCTTCAACCACTAGGGCCATTATTGCCTCATTTTCATTGCGAATTAGATACTATTGACAAGTAAAATGAAGTGTAGATCGTTTGTCAAGTCACAAGATAATCTAAATGTTTCGTAAGCTCTGCATTCTGTTTGTTTCACTGTCAGAGGAGTCCCACAGGTTTGGTATGTTGGAAAAGAATCACCGGCCATCATTTGGGCCTCTATTAAAAAGGCTTTTTATGTTAGATATTAATGTTTTTAAACTCTTTAGCTTTCCAACGATGTGTTATACATATTTATGACTTCTGTTTAGCGCCTTAGATACATGGCGCCCGCAGACAATGACGTTATCTCGTAAACAAAATTGAAATTTATTACTTGAGCTGTTTTATATTATGTAATATAATTCAATTGCATTCAGTAGGTATCTAATTCAGTTACTCTATTAATAGGATAAATTAATTTATTCTTCGTATTTTTTTTTAATTCCTGATCGGTGTGCAGGCCTGAGTTGTCTAGCTCTAACCTAACACCGGTACTGCCTATGTTACTTCCGGATTTTTTTTTTTTAAATCTAGAAAAAGATTTTACTTTTTCCCCTTTTTAGTTAATTATCTAATTGTTTTATAATTCACACTAAGTCATTTTTTGAATGGCTGAAAATTAAATGCAGGTAATTATTTCAAATAAATCAATTAAATGGTACTTTAGCGGAAGACAATCTGAAAGTTCGGCATTTAAATGCTGAAAATTCTTTTTCATATCTACTTAACCGATAATATTGCATATTAGAAAAAAAATGCCGGAGAACTTACTGTCATTGAATATTAGGACATAGAGTAGTATGGGTTGCTTTTTTGCTTTAGAGTCCCTTAGGTTAGATAGGATGTAACAATTGCCAGGATTTATATACATTTTTCGCATTTTTTATTAGGAATTAGACATCTTCTTTAAAATTAGTTAGTCATATATATATATATACTTGAAAAACAAATATACATTTCCCACAAGCTCCTTTGATTCGAAGCCTGTGGTTATTGCGTCTTGAACCCCATATTTATAACCTTGAACATTCATTATACCTTAAACTTTCACTATAAATCATTCATTAGCCACTTAACGTATATAAAAAAGAAAACCGCACGTTTCCCGCTGATAACTTTATCATGCACGTTTATTTTTTAGCAGAATCTGTTTATTTGAAGCATGGAAAGAATCAGATATTCCTAGAATGACTCCCTGGTTTCAGAAATATCCATTATATTACACAAAATTAATTCATTACAATATAATGATTTTTTTTTTCAGGTGTAACTACTGAAATTTTAGGTATTTTTGGTTTAAAATCACTGGCCTTTGAGGGACATTAACTTCATTCTGATGGTCATTTAGACACGTTTTGATTATCTTTTAGTCTTAAGTAGAGGTCTGGTTCACTCAAAAACAAGCTAACTACACATAAATGATTCCGGCAGCACTCAGTTCTATTGGCAGACTCACAAGCTATTTTAAAAATAAATAGGTTGTTAAATATACATAAACAAAACTGTGAAGCAGATGAAAACATCCATGGAAATTTTTCCGAATTCTAATAAAATTTAGAATGAAAAAAAAAATAGAATGGGAACATTGTTCCTTTTAAAAGGTGTCGAGACAAGTTGATTATAAAGGAAATTAAAAGTTAAGCATTTCAATTCCAACTATATAATTTAAAGCAATGCGCAATACCAGTGATAGTATTGGACCGTGTGTACATGTACTATGACAAGATACATAGTCGCTGAAACACGCCCAATGCATTAACGGTTGCTATGATGAATATTCGTGTTAAGTAGTGGTATTAGGATTCAATTTTGGGGAAGAGCTAAACTTTCTTTTTTAATAAAGGTAATTACAGGAAAAATTGTCTTATTAATATTTTTCTTGACACGTTCTTAAAATAGAAAATCATCTTTATTCTAGGACTGGATCCCTTAAGAATAACAATATTGTTCATATAAATTAACAATAAATCTGGCCAAAAGAACTGTTAAAATAAAGAATAACTAAAATACAAGTAATAAAATAAGTAAATACAAAGGGAAGTGCCATCCTAACTCTGCAAGTGGTGCGAAACACGGGGATATCTTAGGGTCCCAGTGAAAAACCGTACGCAGACATTCATAATTCTTTTAAGTCTGTTCCCGAGTTCCACCGAGAGGCCACCATACACCACGCGGCCGTAATCAAGATGAGGGAAGTCTATGTGTGGGAATGGTAGGAGATGGCGGAAGCGATGAAATAGTTTCAAGGTACCAATTGACCGTCGGGAGATGTGAGCAATATGGTGTTTCCAGGAGAGGGTTCGGTCTATGAAAATGCCTAGATTTTTTACTGAGGGGCTGAAGATGATGGGATGGTCATTTAAGTACAGGATACGAAAGTTAGAATTGGACCTGAGACGGAGTTTGGAACCAATGACAATGGCTTGAGCTTTGACAGCGTTTAATCTTAATCAATTTAAGTTTGCCCAGTCACTGATCCGATTCATGTATTCTTGAATTTTGGCAAACGTATCATGCAACTCTGCATGCAGGAAAGGTAAATTTGGGAATCATCGTCATAGAGGTGATGGGAGCAGAGAAGGATTGATTAATGGATGTCGTTAATATAAGAACTAAAAAGAAGAGGAGATATCCTAGAGCTAGTGTTGCTCAAACGCAAGACCAAGACGAGACCGAGGCGGTCTTGGTCTTGGTCTCGGTTTTGCGCACTCGGTCCTGGTCTTGGTCATGGTCTTGCGCAAGAATCTTGCAGTTACCTATCAGCTTATCAATATTTATTTAATATGTTACTTTTAATCTTAGAAAAACGCTAAAAAATAGATACATTCAGATGTTTTACTGACATAAACATAGTATAGTAAATATAGTATAGTCCAACTAAATCAATAAATTTAAAAATTAAGAAAGAAAGTGTTGATCCTCCATCCCTCCGATTATATGGAATGTATTAGAGGAAATGGAAGTTGTAGAATAAAGACAATTTATATATTGTTAACAATGATTTTAACGAATAATCGAGTGTGTCCACTTATCCACGAGTGTGTCCATTAGAAAAAACAAATAATTTAATTAGATTAATTTTCCAAAAAACCAATCAGTAAAATCACTAGGGTTCGATTTCTTGGATGAACCAAACGGTACACGGGCAAGTGAACCACCATTAAGATCAGCTTATAAAAAATAATATATTGTAGCATTGCTAAAACCTGTCCAATTCAGGTGATTTTTGACAATTTTGTCAGAAATTTAATGACCTTTCAAATAATAGCCTTCAAAACAGACTCAGAAACGTTTAGATAAGTTGAAAACCGATAGGATGTATACGTGGTAAGTTAGCCCTCCAAAACAATTTTCTTATCTTTATAAATGTTTTTCATGAATTGTCTCGGGGATGCACTAAATATACGAAAGTATTATTTTGGATACTTACAGATTATGAACGAGTGCCACGCGTCCTTAATGTTCTTTAGTTTTCTTTTTAGATTTTGATTGAAAAGTTTCTTCATAATGGACTATATACAGTGGTACCAAATGGACATAACATTTTTTTCGTTCTTCTCTGGATTAAAACTACCAATACCCAATCAGGTCGAAGCTATCCATGGCCAGATTTTCTTGTTGAATTGCACATCATATGTTGCATCTAATTTAAGTATTGAACAATATGTACGATAGAGTAAGAATTTGGTTAACCAATAATTTCAAGTTTCACTGAATGGTTATAAAATATTTATTGATATCCACTAAAATAATTTTCAACTTTTTTAAGGACAGATATACGTCGATTAAGAAAAAAAAAATTATTTTTCTCATCGGGAACCATTTCACATTGCAGGTAATTTTGGAAATTCCCTGATAATTCTGTGTATTCCCTCTACTGCAAATTTTTCGATTCCATCGATTCTTTGAAAATTGTTCGAAAACATTTATTGAGATGTCTAGATCAATAATTAACGAACAATAGAGAGGCCCTTGGCAATTAATATTTGTCGATATATAATATTTGTTTCTCAATACCTGTTACGCGGAGGTAAACAAGATAATAACCAGAGGTGGGCACAGAAGGATTGCAAGTTGCGTCATCAGAATTTTTTTTTGGAGGGGCAAATTAAGTTTTCAATTTTAATGGAACATTTAAACCAGGAAATAAAGAAAAAAATGACACACTGAGGTTTGCGTGTATGTAAAAAAATATTTAAGGGTGCCGCATACTTGGAAGAGCGGCTTAGCTATGATTTTATCCTAAGTACTCAACACAAGCAGGGTATTGTCTTCCGTATATCCAATTTCAGCATTAACTAAAAGGGGGCCACTTGTTTGA